CCGCAGCGCCCCCTCGCGGTGCGGCCCGGGACTGCGGCCCTGCGCGCCGGGGGAGGACGCGTGTGCGGCGCCGCGTGAGTCCTGCGTTCCGCCCCGGGACCCGGCCCCAGGCCCCTCTCGCAGCTAGGGAACGCTGGCGTCCCCCCTCCGCGGACCCCAGGCTCCCCTCTCCAGGGAATCGGGGAGTGCCGCTGGCGCGGTACCCCAGGCCCCGCCCCTCCCGCCCTCCAACTGCCGCTTTCGGGGAAACTGAGGACCCTAGGCTTCTCTCCAGCCCTGCCTGGGCACTCCGGTCCTCTCCCAGCGCTCGTGTTGCCCCAATGGGAAGCCCACATCCGTGTCTCATGCTGGGACCCTCCACTTCCTCCCCTGTCCGATACCTACGCCCTTCGTGATGCTGCGACCCCAAAGCTCTTCTAATTCTGGGGCTCTCCCTACTCCCACCAGGAGCTTTGGAAACTCCTCCCAGTCCACTCCCCGCAAAGGGGTCCTCCATCCTCTCTCCTTGAGATTGCAGGCCAGAACCCATTGCTTTTAAAAGCTTGGGATCCCTCAGACCCCTCCCCAAATTTCAGAGCCTCACCAAGGCCCCCAGGACTCCTAAACTAATCCAGATTTCACCAGACCCACCCTAATCCAAGTCCCTCCGTCTTCCCTGAAAGGCCAAGTGTCCCTCCCCAATCGCAAATCCCTTTCCCTCAGTCTCCTTTGTGTACCCTCTGACTTGGGTTCCCACACCCCATTCTTCTGCCAAGAGCACAGACCCCAGCCCAATGGCCTGGGCTCACATCCTTACTCTTCCATTTCCTAGCAGGGCAGGTCACCTCACCTCTCTGGGCCTGTTTTCCTGTTCATAAACTGGGGGGTCACAATACCATCTAGTCCAGATGTTTGTCCGAAACAAGGTGGTCCATGGAAAGTGCGAGAAACCTCCCTGCTTCCCGTCTGGACACTGGCCTTCTCCGACAGTGATGCTTCTCTTTCCTGTGCCTCTCCATCCCCCATAGCGGCATGTCGCACAGGCTGCAGCCCAGAGCACGGCTTCTGTGAGCAGCCGGATGAATGTCAATGCCTGGAGGGCTGGTCTGGGCCCCTCTGCACCGTCCCCGTCTCAACCAACAGCTGCCTCAGCCCAAGGGGCCCGTCCTCTGCTGCCGCTGGATGCCTTATACCTGGGCCTGGGCCCTGTGACGGGAACCCCTGCGCCAACGGGGGCAGCTGTAGTGTCAGTATTCCTCCCGCCTCCCCCTGATTAGTATTCTACCCTGGGACTTGCCACCACCCCCTCCCTGGGACCCACGGGGAAGGAGGTCAGGGAGTAGCTGTCAGGGAGGGAGGACTTCCTGGAGGTGTCCAGCCTGCATCTGGGGCCTTGAAGTAGGCTGATAAGGTGATGAGGTTGGGATTGGGGAGAGCCGACTCAGTGGGTGGGGCCAAAAGGTATGGAACGGAATGCTAATGAGTCACGTGGGGCTACAACTGGCCCCACGGTGGGACAGAAAAATTCAGGGCACAAGGTTGGGACAGTAGGGCCAGGCAGGGTGGGGACTGGGGATCTGGAGGTCCAGGGGTGGAGACATCAGAGAAGGCTTCCTGGAGATGACCCAGAGCTGGGGCTTCTGAAGGATGATTTGGCTGCGGGAGGTGATTAGAGAGGGCAGCCAGGTGAGTGGCCTGTGGGGACAAAATTGCAGAGGTGGGAATGAGCCTAGTGTGGGCCACCCAGACACCGCCACCATGGGAGAGTGACAAACACTCAGAGTTCAAGTTATTGGGGCAGGGCCTGGGAAGGGGCGATCCAGAGAAGGCTCCGTGGAGGAGGTGGGCTGAGTTCTGAGACCTCACTGTAGGATTTGTCTGAGTGGGTGGGCTCTGAGAGGACAGACCAGGCAGGCAGCATTTGGTACACAGAAAATGGTGTGATGAGCCGGGCTCGGTGGCTCAGCCTGTCATCCCGCGCCTTTGGGAGGCTGAGGTGAGT